TCGCCCTCCTTCCTTTCCTCCCGCCGGACCGTCATCTCGTCATATTCTGGCACGTCGATGTCGTTGTCGTCGCTGTCCCCAACGAGCAACAGGTGCGTGAGCTCGACCGTCCAGATGGCCAGGGCCCCCGTGTAGGGCTTGAAGACGGGGCGGAGGTGGGAGTTCGATGCCTGCAGCGAACGTGAAAGGCAATGGGTGGGAGGCGCGTGGGGCGCGGGGAACAAGGGCGGAGGGGATGGGGAATGCTTACGACAGAGAGTAATAGAAAATGCTAGAAAGCAATTGAGACACGAAACTGGACAAGGACAAAGGAACCATGGAGAGCGAAAGGGAGTGGGGGAAAAAGACGACGGGCTGCCCCTCTCAACCCACTTGCAACAGCGGCGAAGCTCTTGGACCGGCCAGGACCGCGTGATACAGCGGCGAGGAAGAGGGAGGACGGGCTCTTTTCAGGTACGCGCTGTGAAAACGCGAGGCGACTGTGGAGAGGAAAGAACTAGAATAGGAGGTGGAAGAGGCGCCCAGGGGGGCAGGACGCGCGGGGCCGTTCGCAGAGATCGCCTCCTCGCCACGCGGGAGCAGGCTGATCTCACAGGCTCTGTCCCTTCTTTTCCCCCTCTCGTGTCCCCCACCCTCCCCACCACCCACTGGCTCCGCTGCTTCCATGGCCGCTGCGTCTTGCCTTCCCTCCTTCCCCACCTCCCGCCCGGGCGCTGGGGGATCCCTCCCCTGCAAGGCCGACGCGGGTAGAGGGGGAAATCCCTGTGGCCCCTGATGCTGCGGCGGTACAGGCTTGCTTTCATGGTTGCGAGGCTTCCTCCTCTCGACCTCCTCGTCTCCGGTCGTCTCGTGCCGGAGTCGGGAGAAGACGCGAGGAGGCTTACCACGACCCGGCGAGATTTCGTGGCTGGCGGATGAAGAGGAGAGGAGCATGGAAGGAAGGGAGGAGGAGGAGGAGGAGCAGAGGGATAGCGAGGGAAGGTGGGGGGAGACCTGGGGCACGGTGTTGAAGCCGATGATGTCGGTGTTTAATTTCAGGTCCACGCGGCAGACGACGGGTCGGTGGTCACTGTCGAAGAGAGGTGGGGATGTGGGGAAAGGGAAGAAGATGCTCAGTCCGGTGGGGGCTCGAGTCTTGGTCCGTCATCCGCGACACCATTCAGTCACGCCTCTTGGTTCGAGCGCTCCCTTCCCTCCTTCCTTCCCGCCCGTCGCCCTTTTCCTCCGCCGGACCTGCCCGTAATGGCGTCACACATGTCGTAGCCCTGGATGAAGACCCGGGGCCCGACGTCGGGCAGAGCATGGAAGAGGATACGATCTAGACAGAGAAAGGATAAGGGGGGGAAAGGGGAAAGGAAGGGAGAAAAAAGGAGGCGATGAGCGGACAAGACGGTCTGAGACCTCCGGCCCCGTCTCTCAGCTTCCCCCCCCGTTGGTGCCACCTGTGTAGGAGGGCGGACGCGGTGTCCATCCGCTTTTCTTCGAGAAGGCCTTAAGAGTAAAGCATTTCTCCAGAAGGGAAAGCTGGGTGAAATCCCCCGCGCTCGCACCGGAGACCCATCGAAAGGAGGGCGGGAAGCGAATGGGTGCCTGACACGGTGGGGGGAGGGAGGGAGGCGGAAACAGAAGGAAAGAGGATGACGAAGTTGTCAGGGTCTTGTATCCGGATATATACAGATAGCACCGTCAGCTAATATGGCCAGATGCTCGGCTTTGCCTTCCCTCGCCCGCTCCCCTCCTCCCTCGTGCTCCGCTCTGTCTCGCGACCACACATCGTTTCAGCGCCATACAACACTCCTGTACCCTTCCTTCCTTCCACCCCCCCCATCTTTCCCTCTCCGTCTCAGCTACCTCGTGGAAACCGAAGAGCAGGTCGCCCGTCTCCATAGCCCGAGAGAGCTCGTCGCACTTCCCGATCCACGACCAGGCGTCCATCAATTGCCTCTCCTTCCTCCCTCCTTTCCTCCCTCCCTTGCTCCTTCCTTCCCTCCCTTCCCCCTCGCTCGCTTCTCTGGACAGGTAAAGGGCCTCGGCGGCCGTGAAACTGATGTGACGCTGGCGCTTGTTCGCGAGCCTAGACGGGGCAGGGAGCATGGACGATGGAGAATCGGAGGGGTAAGCGGAGGGAGTGAGGTCGCGGCCTGCGGGAGAGGAGGGTGCTTCCTGCTCCTCGGCGTCGGCTGCGTGCGTCTCGCTTGGAAGGGAAGTGACGTGGTGGGGAAGGGAGGCGGGGGGTATGTCCACGGGAAGAAGATAGTTAGGTTGGCGGGTGGAGTGCACGCTGCTATGATTGCGAGTGCATCCCAATACATCCACAGGCTGGCTTTGCTCGTGCTGGCAATGTGATTCCTCTTTTCCCGGCTTTGGAGAGCTTGGCTCCAGGAAAGCCTCCTGCTTGGAATCTGCCACATCCCTTGCGGGAGAGGTTGGTGCCTCGACCCCGTCTCTGTCGCTGCCCGCGCGCTCCATTTCCTCTTTCCCGCCCTCCTGCCACTCGCTTTCTTCCTCCGCTTCCCCGAACATCAAGCTGCGGTACCGACAGTCGCGCCAAGTCCGATCCCTCCCTGTGCCTATCCCTTGGCGTTCATTTCCACCCTTGTCAAGCGCTACCGCCCTGGGCCTTTCCCGGTCGCGTCCTTTTGGCGACGCCGTCTGGCTCTGCCACCAGGCGGCCTCCACGGCGGCGGACTCGCTCACGCGTCGGAGGATGTCCTGAGGATGGCAGGGAAACCAGCAGGGAAAGAGATGAGAAAAAGAGACGAGAAAAAGAGGTGAGACATACCCCCAAAGAGGCTGGGACAACATGGGTTGTCTGAACATGAAGCGGTCTTAAACGCTGACATGGATCCTACCAGAGGCTTGGCCGTGAGCCGGTAATTCAGATCCCCCAGGAGGATGGCGACATCGTGTTGCAAGTGCGCGTCGAAGTCTTCGTTATCGTAGGTCAGAGAGAGCTGCTCGTGGGACAGGGAGGGGAAAAGGGAGAGGAGCCAAAGAGAGGGGCTGTCAGTTGAAAGAAGGGTAGAAAGACCTAGCCGCGCAACCACTATTTGGCTTTTCCAAATAAGGAACTGCTACAGGATTCCATTACAGCTTACCAATGGAGGGTCAGACCTGAATGTACACGTTTCATTTCTGTTTTCCCTCACATACCCTTCCATTCCCCTCAGCTATCCACTCTCTTGCCCCCAAGAGCCTCACCTCTCGAAGCGTCTGCACGGCGTCTTGATTCCGCCTTGTCACGCGAGAATGACCGTGCTTGTCGGCGGCGAAATGGGCCGTGATGCAGGCGATGGACAGGTCATGGTACCTGCAACGCGAGCAAAGGAATCCGAGAAAAGGAATAAGACGAGGCGGCAAAGGATGTGGGATAGACGCCTTACGTGTCATCCAAGGGATGAGACACGTGGAGATGGAAAAAGATCTGTCTGTGTACGTTCCTCCCCTTGTTCTTGGTCCACACTCGCCGCTCGCAAACCTGGCTCCTATGTGATACGCTCCCCTCCTTTCCCCCCGCGTCCCCCCCTTAATTCCTTCCCTCCCTCCCCTCCCTCCCTGCATACCTGACTGACAAGCCAACCGTGCCCTTATTTGCAGCGCGGCCCATAATGCCGAGACTCATACCTGTATTGACGGTTCCTGAAGCTGAACGAGCTACCACCACGGCGCCTAATGAGCGGGTAGGGAAGGAGGGAGGGACAAAGGGACGAGGAGGAAGCATGGAGTGTCGACGCAAGTTTTCTTGTGCCATGAGGAGGAAGGGAAAGGGGGAGAAAAAGGAGGGGTTCAGATGGCATACCCCGTTGGATGTCGACCGTGCGGGCAAATATTGTGATGGCAATCATTCCTGTCCGAGAGGCGGGCGAGACGGGACCGTCATGTGAGCCTAGTCAGTCTTCTTCCTTCGCATTCACAAATGTGCAAAGCAACATCCTGGCTCCTTTTGCATGCAAGTGACGCGAGACGATCGACGTGCTCTTGACTAATAGGCCGAGTCTAGCCGTCAGTCGTCCTCTTCCCCTCCACATAACCCGCCCTACCGTTCAGGATGGTGGCGTCTCCAATCTCCCGGCAGAACATTTCGTAGACCGCGGGCCCGCCCAAGTGGTCGTGGAGGGCGATGCGCAAAGAATCGAGGATGAGGACCTCCTGAACGAGGGTAGGTGAGGTAGCGAGGGGGGGTAGGACGGAGATTGAGTGGAGAGAATCGCATGGATGAGATATTGTATCGGGAGGGATACAAAGCTTGAACGACAGATAAACATTAAGTCATGCAGTCGTAGCCAACATACTTTTACCACCCTCTCTCTAACCCTTCCTCCCTCCCTCCCTCCCTCCCTTTCTCCCTCCCTCCCTC